TACCGAAAGAATCCCACGTCTAGCGCATGCCAAGCGAAGGACGCTGGTAGGCTCCGCTCCTCATGCCGACACTGTCACGCCAGCTTCCTCTCACTGACGAACGGCGCCAGCTGGGTCTGCGCAGCACAGAGGTCAAGGAAAACAGCGGCCACCGCTCAACACTGAACAAAGACTGACTTCAAATACAGCATGACACTAACGTGCGTGTCATCGACGTGGTTAAGGATGCTTTTAATGTGATATATGGTTAATATATGATTAATCCCAAGACTAAGCGCCTCAATGCAGTCAGCGACTGCACCCAGCTGGACACAGGGAGCCATCTCCATAACATTCAGATGCATAGCAGTTAGCGCTAGCCGATCGTAAAGCTAATGTAAGCCAACGTCTTCAGGCCACTGCTCAAAGAGAGGCTTTCCTAGGACAATCAGGTCAAACAGAAGCCGTTCTTGCCGCTTTTGGCTGGGAACTCATCGGGGGCATATCCCAGCGCGTGCCGGTAAGGATACACCATATGGAGAAATAACATAATTTGTTTCTGGTTAGATGGCTAAAAAGTCCTGCAGCATGCGGGCAAGCAGCCCGTCGACCTCATCCAGATTTGTCGCCCTCCGAATCTTAGGGATTCGTGACCGGTCCCCCACATCGCCAGGCAGTCACCCCTCCTCAGCGTTGAACTCGACGGGCGTTTGCTTCCGACGTCTGTCTGTGTCTGAGCAGTTGGAGAGGCGACGGTAGACACGACGGGCGGCTGCTTTTGAAGCCTGTCCGTATCTGAGCGGCTCGAAAGGCGCCGCCGGCTGCATATGCCAGATTTTCTTCTTGAGAACGATAAGTTATTGTCAGCATATCCGGTAGGAGGTCGCTTAACGGCAAGTGCTCAGGATCCACAAGTGGAACATGTTGCCTGACTGGGTTGGCTGAGGCTAGAATCGGCCTCTCCCATCCGGCGACATTCGTTCCGAGAGAAATGCCAACGGTTAGCCGGCAGGATGCAGCGTTTCCAGCACGACCCTCAGTCGCCGTTCATAGCAAAATAGCTGGCGTGGCAGCCATCGCAGCGAGATGGTGAATACTACTGAACTTGTTACTGCACAAGCAGCAGCCATGCAGAGAACCCCAGAAAGACGAACGACCTCGAGAAGTCGCTGCTGAAGAACAGCGCGCAGTTTGCCAAACTCCAGCATCACCATGGACCTGACCCGCATCTCGGGTCCAGCAGCTCGGCGAGCCACGGCGGACGGCAACACAACTGAGCAGCATAGGGCCCCATCACAGGCGCGGCGCGGCCACGAGGAGGGCCGTGAGCACCCACCGCGGTACTGGCGAACCATTCCGGAGGAGAGGCTACCGCTGCCATCATGGTATCGGTGTGAAAAAGCACTTGATTTCATTCCGGCCTATGTTTTTCAGTGACTTCGCAAAGCTCAATCTGCGTTATGAGTGCTGATTAATTTGGTTTTGCATCGCCCGATTCATCTGTAATGCATGTTCATTCCTTCACTAATATTTGTGTGTTTTTCGCACGGGCCGCACGGGTTTCGCACGTTGTCAGCTCCCAACTAGCAATCCAAATATGAACATTCGTAAACCTGACTCAACATGCCATGTGCATGGGACAAGTATGCCATATATGCTTTCCATGACATTCAACATAAGTTTTTATTCGGTTGGCACGGCCAGTAAAATAATATCATTTTGCGATGAGGGACGTTTCAGCTTTATTAGAAGCTAAATCAGTCTAGGCAAACAAACCTGGCCACTAGCTACAGTTGTAAGGGTGTCGTAAATGCTGCGAATGTTCAGTCGTAAATGTTCGACATGTCATAAAATTAGACACCCTAGATTCAAAGAATAGCGCATATCGTGCACAACATCCACACCGTAATTTCCAGAGAGAGTTACATTAGCTGTTCATATGTATACCACAGTTTAAATTGGGCCCGTTAATGGTGATTAGTCCCGTTAACGTCCTGCTCGTCATGTACCGACGATAACGACACGACGACCACATGCTTTTGACTCATTGGTTCGCTCCTGTTGGACAGTGGAACGCGATATCAACATATTTTGTGCAGTGTAAAGACACTTTTTTATATCGTATACCGCATTCACGTTGTCACTTCATGATTAAATTTGTCTTGCAGATTAAGGGGAATGTTCCACATTTGAAGATGCTGAAGCAAGCATCAAATATGATGAAATATGCTGACTAATCATTATTGATGTAATTCTAAGTGGGAAACTGCTGTATATAACGCACTTTCCCTACTTCGCGAATATTATCCCCAATATCTCATCGTTTGATTACATCATCCTACCATACACAACCTTGAACGAGAGTCAATTGACGGCCGTTATATTTGGAAATCGTCCGCACGAGCGTCTCAAATAAACGACTCGACAATCATGTTTTCCTTGATCTTGATCGTCTCATGGCCAATGGGATGGCAAGATTTTAATGACGTTAACATGGCCGCATGAACACATGGCTGGAGCACCCCTTTTAAAGGAAGTGCTAACGTTTGTATGAGGTTTTGAACTGAAATACCTGTCTTCAAGATCGTTCTGTGAGGCTCAAGCCCTGCCCTTCTTACTAAGGCCCCTCTAGTTTCCGTGGTACGCGCCTACGCCAAGATGTGCAGACTATTGCGTGCAGACTATTTCAAGGTCACATTAGTAGCGCCATGATGACTTCACTCAAATCGTGCTATCCCATCGTGATGCGGCGATCAAGGCCAAGCCAAATGTAGTTGTCGGGTGGTCATATCTGCCTTTCGTGAAGAGAACTTCCAGATATAACGACCGGTCCAATGGCTCTCAAGCAATATTGTGCGGGGTACGATCACGGAATCAAACAATGACGTACCGAGGGGCATATTCTATTATTGGTAGATATAAGTGAGCTAATTTCATCATTTCTTATGCATGCTTCAGTGTTTGCAAATGCGAAACATTCACTTAAAGCGGCAGTAAGGCTGACGACGGGCGGTTAAGGACTAGGCTGCGTGATACGAAACACCCAGCGAGACGATGGCAGGCGAGAGGCCGGTGATTGCAGTGAGCCCGCTGACGTCACTCGGGTGGTGCGCTGTGATGTAAGTAGCACGCGTCACGAACAACCAGCGGAAAGCCGCGGGAGCGTGCGGATCTCCCAAGAGTCCTGAAAGCGCCAACGTCGTCGCGGTGGCTGACAAGGTCACGCACTCCACGCCAGCCCGCCGCTTCCGCGATCGGCGAGCTATTATCTCGAACAAGAAGGTTAGAGACCACAAGTTTACGATTTTTTTGCACACGGTTCAAATGAGCTCTCCGCAGAGTGTGAAGCGGGAAATGATGTGCGGAATTTGTGACACTAGATTGGTAGAAATTTGTGAGCCCATAGCTCGGGATGGTGATGAATTTTGCTCAGAACCGCAGGGAAAACGTTGCAAGGTTTGCTGTTTAAGAGAAGACGTGCTCCCCGCGAGAATGACCAATCGATGGTAACACCCAGCGTCTTCACAGAGTGAGAAGGCGTTTGTAATTGGTGGGCAAGGTTGAGGTGGAGGGATGTTCGTTTCTTGAGGATTTGGCCTGTGCTAATAGGAAGTAGAATGGTCATGGACAGGTCTATTTTCAAGGAACTGGATGCAGTGTACGACTTGATAGCGAGCACAATCCGTTCCTGTCGGGCTTTTGGAGTGCACGAGTGTTCGGGATGTACAGCGCCTATTTAGCAAATGGTTGTCGTCGGCGTCGCACACTACACGCCCGCGAGGTAGGTATAATGACAGATTGTTTGTAAAGATGCTGAAGAGAGCGTGGCCCACCAGGGAGCCCTACGGTACACTTTAAGGCCTGCAAATGGATAAGGAGTCTCCTCTCACCCGGAGTCACCGGCTACAAAGGTAGCTACGGTAGTACAAAGATAGCCCCGGTGCCGACAACACAATGTTCAGCTGAGTCAAACACACGACATAGATAAGACAGTAGCATTAGCCTCATTCCTTGGAAAAGCCAGGAAAATGGAGAGATAGTTAGGTTGATATTTTGCATTAGCACTTCTGCTACTGTTTCGATAAAGGCATGTTGCCGAAATATCAACCTAGCTATCCCTCCATTCTCCTGTTTTTTCCGAGGAATAAGACTAATACTATTGTCCTTACCAATATGGATAATGTTCCTCGCTAATGCACTAAACAACTTAAAAAACACACGACAGATCAACTGGGGGGACAGGTGCAGTTAAGCGTGATCCATAAGGTGAGGGATCCACTCAACAGCGCCGGCCGGGTGCCCTCCGCGCGGCGACCACGTCGCTCTCCATGCTCCATGGAATGGCAATGTCTATAAACGTACCGTGAAGAATAGCTAAAGCATGGAAGGTGGAAAGCTGACAAGATATTGCGAGCGTACTATATTATCAAAAATAGTGAAAAAGCGGGGCAAGAAGGAGATCGGTCTAAAACGGCGAACACCCTCACGACGGCCAGACTGGTAACATCTTTTCTGTGGGTCTGGTGATCGAGAGAAGCAGCGCGAAAACAAAACGAAGCTCCACAAGACCTTAGAGATGGATAAAGAGGAAGGGTAATGTGTTCGCTGATTGATCTCCATGAAATATCCTACAGTTGGATTTTGCCAAGGCTGGAAGAGTTTGGGAGTCATTGGCACTGTTCTGAAGTATTCAGTTGCAGATTTTAATGGCGTTTTTTTTTGTCATTTCTATCCTTGTTATTCACATGTCATCCGACCGTCAGCCGCTTTCTCCGAATGCCCAAGACCACATTTGTTCATCTATACACGTCTCAAGATATTGATGATCCTTGATGTTGGGAGTCCAGCATAGCTCACATGCATCCATAAACGACGCTGGGCTCTACGGTTTCTTCAATTAGCCCAATGGCCGATACGAAACGGCGTGAAATAAAACAAGGCGTCCTGCCCTGTCGGTGCACATAACACGACAGAGAAGTGGGACCGCACTTCTCAGCTTAAGCTACATTCAGGGTACTCACCAAGATCGAGTTGGTGTGGTTGGAGTCGCCGCTGGGGTAGGGCGTGTACACGGCCAGCGCTGCGCAGTTCGCGAAGATGGTCAGCAGGATCAGGTGCTCGAACGGCGTAAACAGGCGCGTTAAGGAAACGGTGTGAACACAACGAAACGTCGCACAAGTGACAAGTGCATGTATCTCCGTGAGAGGTGACACACAGAACCAGAGGCTCCACACGACCCAGACCAATAGTCAGTACCAGCGCCTCAGTCCGTTCCGACAGCTAAGCACCACGCGTGCTTGTCTGGAGGTGACAGCGTCTCAAAGGGTACGAGCTGCTCAACACCGGTCGCACGCAAACGTTGAATCAAATTCGGCGCACCTTGCTGGATTGTGATATCGGATACCATATGACATGGGTCTACCTCTACACACGTACAAGATCCCGTTTGCACAACGCGCTGGTTGGTTGGTTGGCTAGGATTTCGTTTTTAGGCATATCCTGCCTAGAGCTAACTTTGACGCTTATTCAAATGCAAAACTATAAACAGTCTTGCATGATTTTGGTTACCATGACCTGTGAAAGGTCAAATGGGATCACTGACTTTCAGAGAGCATTTGACCTTCTCCTTACAACAGGTATCTAGGTTCTGGGGGCACTCTAGAGACCAACCTGGTGTTTGACATTTTTTGACCTTATTTGACCCAAAGGTGATGACCAAAAAACCTCAACTTTGATCCTCAATGAGTTCAGGTACAGGCCATCACACCCTATCAATTTGGTGTCTCTAGCTTTCTTAGTCCTTGAGATCTCAGGGGGTCAAATTGAACCCCTCCCCCCCCCCCCCACCCGAGTGAAGGGTATCCGACCAGAGACCCGGGCGCGTGTTAACGGAGCCATATACCATAAACGTAGCTTCAAACCACATAAAAACATGCATTGTCGTTTTCAGAATTAATCAAGGAACACGTCTGTCTAAGGTTTGTTTACCCTGAAGGCATGGTCTCGTAAGCATGATGGAAACCTGAAGCAGTGGGATTTTATAGAAAACCTTCGACATGCAATATCTGGGCCAATTATTGAATTAATAGCATAAAACTTAGCACCAATCGCGAGATCTCGTTGAGACTTATCCACTGATGTTTCTGACTAAGCTGTATCTTCATTTCTTTGAAACGCCAGGGGGTGGAGGTCGCATCACCTCCCCCCCCCCCCCCTCTATCAGTCTGGGTCGTGAAAGGCGGCGAAAACGGGCGAGGGTTACGGGCAGATCAGACCATCCGTACTTTATGGGAGCCGTGCGAGCTGCCAAAACCACCTCAGCCTGCTGCTTATTCACGCAGCTCTGCGCGTTGCAGTGACACGCTCAGCATGTGCCGCCTATTGGCGGCCTTGCACGGGGAGTGCCATCGGCAAGGATGTTCCTCAGGCAGGGTGAAAACAGGAGCGGAACAACTGAAAAATACGGTAGGCTTCCGAGCAGGCCGGGCTAAAAAGGGCAGATACTGGAAGCGGAACAACATGACTAAAACAGGACAGGGTTGTGGATGCTTGGCGGGGTTTGGGACCAGGCAAACCCGAGCGGGGAGAAATGCAGAAGCCAGGTAGGTTCTACAGGGCTGCAGACAATCAGGCATCTGGAGCAACAGCGCCTACTGCATCTGCTGCTGGCGCGTTCACACCAGCCTGCTGCGTCGGTTGGTAGCATGCTCACACCAGCCTGCTGCGTCGGCAGGTGGCGCGTTCACACCAGCCTGCTGCGTCGGTTGGTAGCATGCTCACACCAGCCTGCTGCGTCAGCTGGCAGCGTGCTCACACCAGCCTACTGCGTCAGCTGGTAGCGTGCTCACGCCAGCCTGCTGCGTCAGCTGGTAGCGTGCTCACACCAGCCTACTGCGTCGGCTGATGACGCGCTCCGTGGCGGCTAGTGGTGGTAAGGGCTATTTTCGGCGACAGGGCGGCCCCGGCCCGGCGGACTAATCTCCAGCTCTCTGCACTGACCGTCTCCCCCTCCCCCACCTAGGTTTGTGACACACCGCCACTCACAAGTCCAGGCAGCACGGAAACGTCGCGACACTGCATACGGGCACGTGTTGGTGCTCATCATTCTTTAGCGCCAGTCAGATAATGAAGCGCTAGCACAGCTTAGCAGCGATCATCATAATTAAGAACCTGCTCATCAAACACGGTCGCTAAATTCAACCATGGACAAACCGCAGCACAGCATGATGGCAAATATCCACAACACGGACAAACGGGGTAGGGGACACTGCTAGGGTCTCCAATGGTTCGCTGGCCGAAGCTCCAAAAAATGGCTGTGGACATGGGATCATGATCATTATGTACCAGATACTCTGATGTCAGCGAGATTAAATCTGACGCAATTGCCGCATTGTATCTATAAACGTTACGCTCTACCGAAATACGGAGGCTACTGTTCGGTTCTAAGCATTGTATTAAGTGACTGTTCAAAATGATCAGTGATAATACAACGCACATTTATGGCATTGCCACATGTAGCGCTTATCACCTAACTGCGCAGTGAAAGTACCTTGCTGATAATGGGAGATTTCGTGGGGAATCTGCGGTCGAGGTTGCTAACGTTACGCAGCATATAGTAATCTCTTCTGGATTCTCATGACAATGGCCAAGGGCTTATGATCTGAGTCTGATTTCTGACGACTTTAAAACAACACCTTTGACAGCAGTGTTTGCAGACGGCCTCAGATGGCACTCGTACCCATCACCACCACCCCAGCTGAGATCGCCAGCGTAAGCGATCTAGGGTTAATGTGGTGATCGGGAATAGCCATTGTGGGATTAGAGAACTGTCGATTTCCGAGTCTAGAAGTCCAGAAAATCGATCCAGTATCCTTAAAATCTAAGACAAACGCAGAGGTAAGAAAGTGAGGGCATAATTGAAAGATGATCAGGGATACAGCCAGGATTTTTGCAGTGGGAGACCCGGAGCTCGGTGCGTGCGCATCACGCCAACTTTTAACTTTTTGTTGAAAGCTATCTGTGGTGAAAAACGAAGTACTGTTGCACGAAGAAGGAGCCCGGCTCCTGAACCCCTCCTTTGGCTGCGCTCCTGTTGACAAGAAATGTACAGTTTACAGAGAACAGAGAACATCGTCAGAATACAGAGAACACTGTCCAGTAATGCAATACGGATCGGCGGACAACTTCCTCCCCGCGCCTTCGCGACAAACAGGCAAGCTGAAGGGCCTTTTCGTGCCGCACGATACCATGCAACGGCTGCTTCATGCCAGGATGGCCCTCTGGCCAGACGCCAGCTGACCACCTTATGATGGTCAGGCCAAAGCAGTTTGCTTTCTCAGGCAGTCACACCCGGTGCCAAGGGACATAGCTCCACGATGATATACCTTACATATACCCTACATCACGCGGCTGACATGCCGCCACTAAAGCGGCTTTTGCCGCAAATGCTTATATTGCAACAATTTGACATCCAAGTGACTGCTGTTGAAGTTTGCAGCGTCCACCACGCTCCTTACATACGCCAGGCAACCATGCCGAAAACACGGAAGAGTAGCGGCAAGTCTGTGATTCTCATTCAGCTTGGTGATAAAACTTGTGGCTTTCTGTGCGAACTTGGCAGCACGGGCTGTTCTGAGCCTGGCAACAGTGACCGCGGCGGTGGGTGTCAGCGCTGGCCACGGATCGGCACCGCGGACGCTGAGGCGCCGGCCCCGGCCGCCGGAGGTCGGAGGCCGATGTCTGAAAGGCTCTCGCCTGCAGACACCCGGTCGACTGCCGGTGCCAAGGACGCGGTACACGGCGGCCAGAGTCGGCCGGCAAGTAAAGGCTCCAGTGGCTGGCAGCCCTACCTATTTTGGACTGGGGGTCTCAACAGCGACGCATAAAATATCAATGTGTCAAATGCTTTTACTGGTTGTCACTTTGATTACAAACGTGGACATGCAGACCGTTTTTGCGCGGACAGCAGGAGTAAAGTGCCTTTCAGAAATAACAGTAGTGGCATTTGCATAATTCCTAATTAGACATACACACTGACTGATGCCAAACTTTCAATATTGACCTGAGTTTCATGTAAGGTACATCTTCCTTGCTTAAAATGTAAATCAAAGTGCTCGTCTTTTACAGAAATATTCCAATTTTCCAAAAAATACATTTCTAAAAATTACGAGTCATCTCATCTTTTCATCTGATTTCCCGAAGCCTGAGCATGTCTTTTAACCCTCGCCCTGATAGCGGGGGGGGGGGGGGGGCTGATGCACCACCCTAACCTAAGATTTCTTGAGAGTACCTCTTCGGCATATTGTTGAATTGCGGCTAAACTTTAAATACATTATGGGGCATTTATTGCATGTGTTTTCACACCACAAAAGCTCCTAGCTTTTCTAGTTTCGGAGCATCGGCGGTTTTTGTGGAGCACTGCATGAATATACATAATATATATATATATATATATATATATATATATATATATATATATATATATATATATATGCATGTTCAAAATACCAAAAAAAAACAATATTGTACTCAGAATTGAACGAGACACCTTCTTCAATGCACTGTTTCACTTTCGTATCACCACAAAACACAGTATCGTTAGTATAACGTTGTGAAGGGTGAAAAAGTGTAAATGTTGGGCAATTCGAACTTTTGACTCGCCATAATGGTGTCAATCGTTGACCTAGCAACATAAAAACTAGTACCAATCATAAGACTCGTTGATACCAGTCACTGGTGTTTTCATTAAGCTCTATTTTCATTAATTTGGGAACAAAAAGGAGCCGCATCAAACTCCCTATCAGTCCGCGTTATGAAAAACGGCAAACCAGGGCGAGGGCTTGAGACCTCCGGGTGAGCCCTACTACTGTTAGGCCAGGGATGGAGGAGCAGAGAATGGGTTGCTGACGGCAGCGAGGGAATTCATCCTCGTCCTGTCCCACACAGCCTGCGCATGCGCCTGGTGGCTGAGGCCTATCGTATTCCTGTCTGACGAACTGACAACCAGTCACCGTTTCCGAGAATGAAAAGTGGGTCTCCGTAATTGAATTTTTGACTGTTGGTTGTGGAAAAGAAGAAGGTATTTCTGAATCCGGCAGACAGCCATCGATGCAAATTCTTCGTATAGTGGCCATTTTGAGATTTAACGCATCGGGTCATGCCAGCGACGGCTGCGGTAATGGCAGCCATGGTGTTTGCCGGGAATACGGGCGTCCAGCTTATGCTGACAATGAATTCCAGGCGACTCAACCTTCACGGCACCCAAAATTTCAACCCATATGGTGCTTAACCCCACCAAAAGCTTACCAGCTCACTCTGAACAACGAAGACAGGCATATGATCAATGACCCACCGTGATATGATCCGTGATCTATCACTGGACCGTGACGAATCTGGCCGTCAGGCGTCGTAGGATCCGCCATGGGATCTCGACCCGACACATCGCTCACTGACGGTAGAGCAACGGCAGCGGCGGCAGCCGCAGACCGCCGTCGAGCTGTACCCGTCCTCAGTGCCTGTGAGTACATGGGTGTATTTCCCCTGTCCTCTACCCCGCCCCCTCCCCCCGCTCCCCCGCCGACTCCCATTTGGAGGTTGAACCAGGGACAAAGCATCATTTGTGTCCTTCGTGGCAGCACCTGTTGGATGCTTTCCGGTGGCCAGGCCATAAAAAGGTCTCAGTTGTAAATGCCTAGCATTTTCTACAGCATTCAGTCCCTCACACCCAATCGCTTCCTTTCATTTACGCACCGTATAAAAACGGGGAAAGAATTCGATCCCCTTGAATTAAGTACGATTTTCCTCCAGTTACGTGAGTTTCCGCACGCCCAACCCATGTTCGACACCGCTGATGAATGCCCCCCGAGCGCTCCGCTGCCCACGGGCCCCGGCTAAGCCGCGCCATCACGCACCACACGCACGACTGCCACAAAAGGATATTTCCACTCGACCACCCGAATGCAGATCTGGCGGAGCGGGTTGTCAAGGCTGAGGCAGCAGAGCGCGCGCGCCGGCCGCTCCGGCGGCGGCCGTCCGGGCCGGCGCGGGGCGCGCCGCGGCGCCTCCGGTCGCTTGCCGTTCTGCATGGCCCCGGCGAGCGCGGCGGACCGGGCGGCGCTCAGCGGAGCTCGAGGCGCACCGCCACCGCCACCGCCGGCCGGGCCGTCCGCCGCATGGCCGCCGCCACCGTCTGAAACAGCGGCACGGGCGCTTGTCAGCAGGGGCGGCGGGACAAACAGGATCTGGATCCCGCCCGCCAGCGATGCCGGCCGGCTCTGTGGCGGGGCGCAGGTGGGTGCCGGCGCAGTGATGCTGATCGGGTGCGCGCGATATCTAGCTGTGGTATACGTGGTACGAGCCCGCTCCAGTCGTGCGCACGGCGCCATATCCTCGTCAGCGATGCGCGGTGAGAATGCAATCGAAAAGGGGCGCGTAGGTCCAGAGATCAGCCTCAGCGTTCAGGACTGCCCGCGCACCTGATTTCTGGACCATTGGTATAAAAAAACACCCCTTGAATGGACACTTGGCATGCGTAGGCCACTCTAAAGAGCAGCTTCGGCAATTGAGACGTTGATGGAGGACCTTTGCTTGGCGAATCTAGGAGAAGATGATGCCCAAAATGCGGTTCTTAGAAGGCTGCTCAGCTGTATTTTCATGACACGGTGGGCCGGTTATCATTCGATGTGAGCACTCAGGTATCATCCCTGATTTTAAAACGCGATAATCTCTAGACCTGTGAACGTCGAGTACAAAGATGCCCTGACGTCGAGTTGTAGGACTTTGGGTCGGCAGTCGCCACAAGCCTGCAGTATCCACTCTTGGATGACGCCACAGAATGCATTTGTGACCTGGCCCAACGGCTGTCATTAAAGAGCCCGCCACGGCAGAGCTTCCCGGCGCCTCCGTCTCCCTCCTCCACACCCACGCCACGTGGCGCCCGCACGGCCGCCTTCGCCCGTCCGGCGCCTCCGTCTCCCTCCTCCACACCCACGCCACGTGGCGCCCGCACGGCCGCCTACGCCCGTCCGGCGCCTCCGTCTCCCTCCTCCACACCCACGCCACGTGGCGTCCGCACGGCCGCCTTCGCCCGTCCGGCGCCTCCGTTTCCCTCCTCCACACCCACGGCACGTTGCGCCCACAGCCGCCTACGCCCGTCCGGCGCCTCCGTCTCCCTCCTCCACACCCACGCCACGTGGCGCCCGCACGGCCGCCTTCGCCCGTCCGGCGTCGCTCCGGACCACGTCTCACGTCTTTGCAACGGCGCGTTGGGACATCCCACACGGGAATAAGACATGGGTGCGTTACCGCTGATTTTCTACGCATTCTGTTTCGGTCAACGTTGAACCCGAAAGGAGACCGTAGGGCAGGCCCGCTCGGTCGTCCGCTCTCTATAAGACGGTGTGCGGGGGGGGGGGGGGCGACCCCGCCGGACCGCGCTTGTTTACATCGTCGGTGGCCGACTCACCAAGGCATGTGCCAGCGCTGGCCACGCTGAGATTTGTGTTGGCCGTCGGCGTTGGCTCCAGCCACGACAATGCTGCAGAATGGTAGCGCCGAAGACATCGCGAGCAACGTTCGAATTAGACTTTGGAATGTGTGGGCCACCTCCCAAGGCACATCGATTCATTCTGCTGTGTGATGGTCCTATCCGCCTTGAAGATTTTTCTGTCGGGGGCTGAAAGAACTCTGGGGTTTTCTGGCTGCAGGTTTTCTGGTTACTGTAGAGTTGGACTAGGTCACTGCTATGTTTAAGCGCAATCAGTTTACACTCATTCCCGCATGAAAACCTGGCGAGCCACTCGTCGGGCATCCTATGTGGCCCCGGGGTAGGTGCGCCGAGGTGCGCCGAGGTCGTGACCGGGCTGGGTTGGCCGGGCATTGCCTGTGCGGGGCCGGCGGACGGCGGAAGGGTCTGTGACTTATATAATGCCAAGAGAGCTGTGCGTTTGGAGCCCGGTGTTGCAGATGCAACAGTTGCCATTGAAAGAAGCCATTTCACAGCTCCGTATTTTGTTCATCCATTATGTTGTTAATCGTGACACTTGAAATTAATGAGTATCTGGTGGTGGCGTTCCAACACCTGGTCTTTGAGCATTCGTTTGCTTGGACTTGAAGTTAGAACGCCAATGCCCTTGGCCGTTGGGATATCTTTTTTTGACTATACTTCAAGCACTCGTGTTTAAAGGGAATGTTCCCCATTTGAGGACATTAAAGCAGGCATCAGATATAATGAGGAAAACTCTCTTGTAACTGTCGGCATAATTTAAAGCGGAACAGGGCACTCTTACAATAAAATATCTCTCTGTAGATAATATGTTCCTCAATACTTTATTGTTTGATTATGTCATCGTGCCTCGCAAAACGTAGATTGAGAGTCAATTCCCGGCTGTTATATTGAGAAATCGTATTCACATACGCCAAATATGAACAACTCGACAATTATATTTGACTTGGCCTCAATCGGTACATGGCTTATTGAATGACAGAAGTTAAATTATATTATTATGGCGCCATGGATGCCTGGGTGACCTTGAAATAGTCTCCCGAAAAGTGTACATCTTCTCGGGCGCGTCGCTCAGAAGCTTGAGAGGCTTGGGCCTTAAAAGGGGTAGGACTGTAAACTGTACCGAATCTTTTCGAAGATGGCCGTTTACGTTCAAACTCCACTGCAGATGCTTTAAAGACCTGCAATGCCCAAGATTGGGGTGCCGCTCTGTAGGGATTGGAGCGCACTTTTGCGTATGATTAGGCGTTTTTGCCTCCGATTGTTTGGATATGACTGGCGTTTCCCTGTCCGGGACTGAGAGGCCTCCTGCCTATTTGTGTTGGCCGGATGAGTGCTGAAGGCCTCATGGCCTTACGGCAGTACCTTCATCTCGTCCTCAGGACGCCCCTCTTCCGGGCCTTGTTGGCGACTCTCTTTGGACTCGCTCTGTCAGGGGCCCCTGCATTACTCGAAGAGACCCCTAACGGTTTCGGTGCCACGGAAGTGGTCAGGAGCCCGAGGTCACCTTCTGTGCGCGCCACTGGTGTTCCGTCTCGCTGTGGCTGCCCCGGAACTTCCCATATTAGAGTGCTGTAAATAGGTGTCAGCGATGAGATTCGGGACATCCAGATGTTGGACAAAATAATTGGATTTCACGAGCAATCACATACCGTTTCCCCAATATTCATTAAGTGCTTCCGAATGTTACATACCGTTCCTGAATATTCGTATTCGTGTTTGCCTGTAACATTCAGATGCCTACTGACAGAAGACGCCGATATATTTACGAAAAAAACAATATCATTTTGAGCCTCAGGAAGAGGGAACTTCGACGTGGCCGTGAACGAAGCGATACAGTTGAATAGTTCCGGCTCACTGACACAGGATTCGCGCCCTCCAAGGAAACCGAACTGTACGGCAAGACTGGCACGCTAGTGAAGCACCAGCCTTTTGTTGGGCCCTTTTTCAAAAGGAAAGCTTACTGACTGATTTCAGCGTTACGACTGAGGACATGCAGCGTAGGACGGTTTGGGAGTTTGAGAGAACGGCATGCAGTTTTGTACTAATATATCAGAGAAGTAAAGCTCGATTATCTTTTAGTAAGCAGTCTTTTATGATGTCACTATTATTCAGGTCACGAAAAGTGACGGCTTTGTGTGGTGGTCACCAGCAACGATCACTTGCATCGATATGCCCCACCACACATCTCAATGGAAAATTTGGACATCCTGCACACGTTCACCAGAATGTGTATTTCCCAACTTAGTTGAAATTTCAATTTGATCTTCACAATGTTTGAATACCGAAACCAAAACAAGCGCTCAAATTTGATAGCTGCTCTGCACACCTGACCTACCATATGCTCAGGGTATCTGTCTGAACGATCTGTAAAATGTTCCGGATCAGGGGTCATGGTGTTTGATATCAGGCACTATTTAACAGCTTTGCAGTGGTCACATATGCTGGCTGAAGTCAGCGCGCAACAGCTGGCTGATAACAGTACATCGAGAAATGCCGTCATTTTTAGGTTTTTGGTGTAACATCAGCACAGGCATTTTACCCCATCGTCGCTGGTGTCTGGTATCCAATCGTACTTTTGTCGGAATCTCTCACTAGTCGATTGAGGATTTTGTCTACACAGATAAACAAAACGAGGTTATCTGTGTCCAACTCGATTCTTCGATGTTCCTAGGTACCGATCTCGGGATCCGTTGCCAGCATTCCACATCGCGTTCCTTCATGACTCAGGGCATACCAGTTATTTGGAGACTCCAGTGATCTTTTTCGTAGCCTGAACGTTTTTGTAGCTCCTGGAACATCTCAAAGGTCACCGCTGGTTTCAAAGTTCACGGGCGACTGTCTGTGTGAATCTTAAAGCACCTCGGAGACGTCCAACGCTCTGAAGGCAGGGCCCCAAAAAGAAGAACTACGAAAGCGAGCACGCCAGCAAGAAGCTCACAACTCTCTCTTCCCCTGGCCTATTCAGGGTTCAGAAGCCTTCTCCTATGAGTTGCAATGTCCTGGGAGCTGAGCGTACTAACGATTTCGCAGCCGGCACTTGGCCGGCACGGAGCTTACATTATCATCCCCATATCGGGCACTGAGATACCCCAACGAACGGTTGGGCCCTTCGATCTCCTTGTCGCCTCCGATCTCTTCGGCGTCTTTGATGTTCTCTGGTCTTTTGATGTCGGCGTTTCCGTAACCTTTACAAAGTTTCTCAGCGTGACCCCAGAGGCCCAAGGTGGCCTAACGCGCCGCCTATCCGATCCCAGCGACCCAAGGTGGCCTACTTTCTTTTGTAATTGTTTTACACTAAGTTTACTCAGGTCATCGTTTCTCGTACGAGCGGATCGCATTATAAAATCGTTTGCATAACGCAAATGGAATGCATCACCTTATTACATAAATTTACTCTTTACACTTACTTAACACACACACATTTTTCCAAAGTTATTTCAGTTGAAAATTTGCATCACTTGCTTGCAGTGGATGATGCATAAAGGCATTGGTGCTGGGAAAGATAGCTTCTCCCACACCTCAGACCCCGTTGCTGGAACTCTGTGTATCCACCTGGAGACGAATAACGCTGAAAACGGGATCTCATAAAAGCCACTGTGTTCAGCTCTGGCTATGCAATCTTTGCAACGTTGGCTTTGATATTATGCCATGAGGCATGTTTCCTCAGCA